GGGTATGAGCACAAGCGGCAATGACATGAGAGCAAGGCATACGAAATGCTTGAAACCTGCCACAATCGCACCAACGAGAAGGTAGCATGACCCTATATTCTTTTCTTGGTAGGCCTTTGTTGTGGTCGATTTTCTCTTTCACAATGAAGTTGTGGCTGTGTCGGTCAAACCATATAACCATATGAGTGTTGGCTTTAGCACTTTCTGCCTTAATGTATTTCATGCAGCTTTCACTCCATAGTTGTCCAGATTGCAACACCACATTCCACATTTCACCTCTTTTGGAAAATAACGCAGCCATCCTAAAATACGTAGATTTTACCAAGGTAGTGATCGGGAGGTTTCGTATGCCTTTGAATACCCCATTCATTGATTCAATAAGATTCGTTGTCATGTGCCCCCATCTTTGGCCATTGTCGTATGACCTAGTCCATTTTTCCACCGGAATATTGTTGATCCACCTACCGGCTTCCGAATTTGACAAACGGATCTCGTTGCGGTAATATTTGAATGTGGGTTGTGTCAAAGCATATCCCGCATTCATAACTGCTTTCCTTAGTGTTTTGTCCTTGATCTCCCTCGTGAAATTCTGGACGATATGCCTAACGCAATAGACATGCGTAGAAGGAGGGTCATGCCAACCGTTTGCAGGATTATTGTAGGCACTTTCAATGGAGGCATGTATGTCCGAGATCAAACAGAGATCTGGTTGAGGAGCCACGTGTGTCCGCAGATTTTTCAGAAAAAAGCTCCAAGCACCACCGGTCTCCCCCTCGACAAGGCAAAAGGCAATGGGGAAAATGTTGTTGTTGCCATCTTGTGCAACTGCCATCAGTAGCGTGCCTTTGTACTTCCCATACAACCAAGTCCCATCAATTTTTATAATTGGTTTGCATGATGCAAACCCTGTGATGCATGGTTGAAATTCCCAAAACACTCGACTAAATATTTCGTTTCCGTTTAGTAGACTACCATCTTGGGCGTATGCTGGCACTGTTTCCAGAACGTAAACACTACCCGGAGAATACGCCTTGAGTGCATTCAGGTAGCGGGGAAATTCTTGGTATGACTCCTCCCAGTTTCCGTACACCCTTTCAATTGCCTTAGTCTTTTCTAACCACGCCTTACGGTAAGACGGAGTGTAGTTAAAAACTGTGGTGATGTGGGAGATGATTGTTTTCACCTTCAAAGATGGGTCGTTGCTGACCAGGGGTAGGATTTCTTGACAGATGAGATCGTAGTTAAGTTTTCGGTGGTCCTATGATTGAGTGGAACTTACACAAGTGTGGGTAGTCATGGAACCTATGACCCAACAATCACCTCTTAATTTGTATGATGCGGTCAGCTTGAACATACAGTCAGGGTGGACACACTTGATCTTGTACCTTTCCGGGTTGACACAGTCCACCTTAAAATCAATCGAGTTGAGCATGTGGAATTTTTTTATGGCTCTGATGCATTCCTCTCTGTTACGAAACTTGTCATTCTCTTTTAAATTTTCATTCGACTGCATATACGGATTGAAAAATAAGTCAGTAGAAGGTTCATCTCCTCCCATGTTGAAGTTTGTCATGTGCGGAGGTGGTGTGTAGATTTTGTTTGCAGGAATACTAGTTATGGCATCATCGTCGAAATCATCATTCACCATTTCATCAAACTCTAACTCGTCATCTTCTTCTTCTTCATCAACTGCATCTACCTCAGCTTGTTCATTCTCCAAAGGATCAACCACTTGTGTCACCTGAGGCTCTCGCAGCATAACGTACAACTCAATAGAGTCGTACCCAGAATACACATGGCTGGAAAACATATTCTGGAGATCCTCGTAATCTTGAACTTCAACCTTATAAAAAATTACTTGGTTGTTTCCAAAAAAAACTAGATTCTGATAAAATATCTGGGTCACCGGGCCTCGTCCAAGTTTGGCCTCCAATCGTTTTTTGAAGTACGAGAAATTGGCTTTCCCGTTTAAGAGAAATCAGATGTTGTCTGTGTCTCTAAACAAAAACCCAGCGGTGGGACAAATGTATGTCTCACCGTTGAAATGTGCTTTGACGACAAATTGTGGTGTAGAGGCCATTGCGTAGGATTGTTTGAAGGTATGAAGGTATGAAGGTTGAAATGTTTGAATTTTATGAGTTATTCGAAGGTTGGAATTTTTGAAGTTTATTGATTGTATGAAGGTTTGAATGTTGTAAGGTTTGAAGGTTGGAATGTTTGAACTTTATGAGTTATTCGAAGGTTTGTATGTTTGATTGTTTGAAGGTTTGAAGGTTTGATTGTAAGAACGTTTGAAGGTTGGAAGATTTGACAGATTAAGTGAATCAATGTTATGATAAATGTAAGACTAAAAATTTCAATTAAGTAAGGATGTAACCCCCAAGGCTGCCAATAGTGTTACATGCATGGCATCCCAAAGGCTGTCACGTAGCCCGAGCCTAGCCTGCAACCAAGGACACCTCTTATTCGCCAATTGGGATGGTGACACCATTCATTTTTGTACTCTTTCGCCAAGTCCAATGGCGCCTCCCTTACTGTCCAATCGTGATACATGCATGCAGATATGTAACCCCCTAGGCTGCCACCTAGTCTGCGCCTACTCTGCACCTATACTGTATGTTGTAAGTCTCCTCCCATCACCTCCAATAGGGTTACATGCATTCAGGCATGGCATCCCAAAGGCTGTCACGTTGCCTGAGCCTATCCTGCAACCAAGGACACCTCTTATTCGCCAATTGGGATGGTGACACCATTCATTTTTGTGCTCTTTCGCCAAGTCCAATGGCGCATTTGTAAGTTTCTATTTTGGTTATACATTTTTCATATATCAGATAATGCTTTGTTCATCTTACTTAATCTTACACCTTTTACATTATGAACCCAGGACACCAAAAGATTTAGAATCCGTTCTCACAACTACCTGGCTGTCAACCCATTTATCGTACCATATCTGGAATACGCAGGTTTTGGACATGTGATAAAGATCTCCAACTGCACAATTGATTCGAAGTTCATTCTTTCAATGTTGGAAAGGTGGAGACCAGTGACCCATACATTTCACCTACCAATAGGTGAATGTAACATCACGCTAGAGGATGTGTACATGCTACTAGGTCTCCCTGTCGACGGTAAGGCCGTGAACGGGTCGGTTCAACAACTCAACTCTCAGTGTGAAGAACTGTTGGGCAGGGATATGGTTGACGGTGGTGGTGCGAGAGGTCAGGGAATACTACTCACGGAGCTTAAAAGTCATTATGCAAGTTTCGAATTAAACGAAAATTCCTCCGAGCAAGACAGGGTAGTAAAAGCCAGAACTTATCTTATGATACTATTTGGTACATTTTTATCTTGGTACAGGTCAGTTAGTAACCATGAAATGCACGTGTCTCATCCAAGGTACTTGGCTGACCCACGCACACAATAGGCACAACCCTCGTTTCCCCAACAAGAAACCCAAAACCCATCAACCTCCCACCAACCCCCAAGAAGAAACAGACCTACAAACACCCAACCACAGTCCCCACCACAACACAATTACAGTCAAATGCCCCACAACCAACCACAATCACCACCTCACTACCAATACTCCGATATGCCTCACACCAAACCACAATACCAATCACAATACCAACACACCCGCATACCCCACACACATTTTCAGTCTTCCGTATATCCCAATATGGGCCCCTCAACATCCAGCCTTAGCCCTGATATGAGAATATCGGAAGATTACGAACAAACCGACCCAGCCTACCATCAACCACAATATCACCAAACCACCCAACATCCTCAATACCAAACACCCCAAGATCCATTTCCTTTCTACCCACTGTACTCAGACGATCAATGCTACAGACCCACCATGGAACCCCACCCACCGCCAACACGACCAAACTTTGAGGGTATGGTTAACCGACTGTACCAAAGCGGATCTTCTAGATATGGAGATCTGACTGATTTTATGGATCCGGACCGCATTGACTTCACTGGGCCATCGACCCTGCCGCAGCAGGAAACGCGACAACACCCAGCACGGGAAAGACGAGGACGGGGATGCGGAACCGGGGGTCATTACCGGGTTCCGGGGGATCACTGATTTATCTGTTTTTTTTTCCTATATTTTTTTATCTGTTTTTTTATCTGTTTTATTTATCTGTTTTTTTAATGTAATACAGTTGGATGTAATTATTATTTTTAATAAAAAGTCCAATTTGTTGATCCTGTATCCAATACGCAACGCATCGGACAAAAAAAATCAAATTTTGCCCTAAAATAACACCTAGGCGCCATCTAACTTGGCTTAGGGCATGCCCTAAGCACATAGGCGCCAAGTGAGATGACGCATCCCCTTAAAAAATGGGAGTAGGCGCCAATTCAGATGTCTCCTCCTTTGGGGAGTCATCTGAAACATGGTTATTTGCGTAATTTTTTCCGAAACGTGGTTATTTGCGGAATTTTTTTTAATACATGATTATTTAAAAAAAAAATTCCCAAAACGCGATTATTTACGAAATATTATTTTAATATTTGGTTATTGTAAAAAAAATTCTATATTACGATGTTTATTGGGTTTATTGCATTGTCATAAAAACATATAATTTTTCAATGTAACTATCTAATATGAATATAATTTATGAAGATGTGAACTTTTATTTTAACTTTGTTATATTCTCTATCTTTTGAAAACAATAACTTAAACTCAATTACTATTATATTTTGTTTTAAAAACAAAAATCTACTATATTTCAGATTAATTGCCATATGTCTAAAGTTATTTAAACATGTAATTAACTATATTCCTATATTTTAATTTATAATTAATAAAATAAATTGATGAAATAATGATAATTAAAGATATTAATAGTTTTTTTACAAAATTAATTGATTGAGTTTTAAAATATAATTAAAATCAGCATAGTTTATTTTTCCTATAATACTGTTACGTCATTGTTGACATTAGGGTTTGGAGTTGCATGCAAAGGGGTTTATTGGATTTGAAGATGAATAAACACGGCACTGCTGAAAAGGTAAAGTTCAGAAAAGAATTACACATACATGATGATATTGCGTTTTCCATTCTATCAAAATTGTGTATTAAATCTTTGAAGCGATTTGAATGTGTTTGTAAATCATGGTCCCTCTTGTTTGATAATCCTAATTTCATGACTATGTATGGCAACTTCTTCTTAACAAAGGAACGTCCTTCTTATGATCATACATCTCTTCTTCTATATGGCAAGTTTACTCCTTCGGAAGTTTCCTATCTAGATAAACCATTTGAGTTTTATTCTGTTTCTGGAGATAGGTTAGAGAATAGGGTCAAATTACGTTGGCCATGTTATAATAGTATAGATTTCTTACATGCCCGTTACGATTATGATATTATCGGCTCAGGTAGTGTTAATGGGATCCTTTGTCTACGGAGGGCATTTGCATTCTACTGCTACGTGAAATTTTTTATATTATGGAATCCTTCTACAGAAGAGTATAAGATCGTTCAACCTAGCTTTTTGGATGATACTTCTTCTGTTAGTTACAGTGGATTTGGTAACGACAGTAGCAGAAACGACTATAAAGTGTTGTGCCTGATAGAAGAAGTTCAAGGCACTTTTACATGGGAGATATATAGTCTAAGGACTGACTCTTGGAGAGTACTTGATCTCCCTTTGCATCATATTTCTAAGAATTGTTGTCAACAATTATATATGGATGGACTCTCTCATTGGATGTGTGAAAGTGTAACACATAAAGAAACATATCTGTTGTCATTTGACTGGAGCAATGAGGTTTTCATTACAACACAAATAGATGACAACTTTGATTTTCATTTAGTACTGACACACTTGGTGCTATTGAATGGCTCTATTGCTTTGATCTTAAATTTGCCAAACACAACTACATTTCACATATTTGTTTTGGGTGAACTTAGTGTTAAACAATCATGGACTAAAATTTTTATCCTAGGACCCGTCTCTTTCCCTCTGTATCCCATCGGAGTGGGAATGAGTGGTGATATGGTGTTCAGAAAAAAAGACGACAGTCGACTGATTTTGTTCAATTTAACTAGCCAGACCATTGAGGAACTTGGTATTCAAGCAGAGGGACTTTGTAAGATACTAATTCATACAGAAAACCTTACTACTACCTTCAAAGGAAACAAGAGTAAGTAGTAAGTGGCTTATCAATTGCAGATATATTTCATAATTATTATCAAGTTTCTTATTTGTTTTAAAGTTTTATATTTGGTAAACTTTATAATCTAAAGAGCAACATGTTTCTGTGTAAATTTCATTAATATATAAACCACTATGCTTAAAAACTGTGTATTTGATGTTACTATCAAGCCAAATTTTATTGGATCTCAATGTGCCCTTGTCATGTTTATTGATTGATTGCTATAAATTATAGGCTGTAATAGTATACCGTTAGTATTTGAATTTGAAGTATTAGTGATAGTTTAGAATGTACTTGGATAGTGTAAAAAGATCTAGTAGATAATTGAAAGATAGTAGTAAGTAATGTGAAAGCTAGTATTGGAATATTTAGTAGTACGGAACAAGAGGCAACACATAAGTAATTAATTTATTGTAGGAGGAGAGTAATAGTATGATGAAACTTCTATTGTTATTGATATTGGATTTTAAAGGTCTTAAATACAGTTACACACATGCTTGTTTATTTATAGATGTTTGAGGATGTTTCTAGGATAGAACTATTTAGGTTTTTGTTTGTCTTTTCTACGTTACATTGACATAGAACTTTCTAAGATATAAGTTAATCTAGGAATTATTAGAACAATCTAGAAACATGTAGAAACTTTAGACTATTCTAGTTTTCTCTAAACTTTGTCATTTGTTTTTCCTAGAATGTTCTAGAAATGTGCATCAATTTTAATACTTCTCCTTGATGCATATTTCAGTGACTCCAAGTGTAGTTCATAGTTGTTCAAATGTGAATTTGTGAAACTATCTCTTCATGCATTGATACTTTTATGTAATGTATTTTATTTTGAAAAGCATTATCTCCATAATGAGTCAATTTTGTCACACTACTTGTCACAATGATTGTTATTAAACTCTTTCTCTTCATTGTTGAAGCCTTTTGACGGGAATTATTCTCGCTCCTTAGTTGCGCTTGTGATCTTCTTTGTTTGTCTTGTTAAAGACTTCCAACAAGGACCACTTTTGTTGTCTAGTTGCATGTGAATCTCCTTGTCGATCTTATTGAATATTTATGACAAGAACCACTCTTGCTTCTTAGTTGTTTACGAGTCTCCTTGTCATTTCTGTAGAAGAATTTTGACAGAGACTCATTCTTGCTCTAGTAGTTGCATTTGTCTTCCTAGGCATGTACTCAAGTTGAGCCTCAGAAGCCACAGGTTTCAATTTTTTTTATCGTCCGTGCTTATACTCTATCAGAACTCGAGCATTATTTTCCATAAGATTACGACATTAGTTGGACTTGAAATTAAGATTGTATGACTGTTAGGCTACCAGAACCTCTCTCTCTCTCTCTCATTTTTTGTTTTGGGTTTAAACTCAAACAGAGTCGGGCCGTGTACCTACCTCCACTCCTTTGTGTTTGAGTCAGATACTTCATTTTGTAGTTTTTAATAAAATAATTGGTGAGAAGAAGAAATAGTTTGGTACGCCTAGTGAATTACCGAACCTAGCTCTGATGCCACTGTTAGTATTTGAGGTAATAGTGATAGTTTATAATGTAGTTGGATATTGTAAAAAGTTGTGGTAGTTAGTTGAAAAATAATAACAAGTAGTGTGAGAGCTAATATTAGAGTATTTAGTAATACAGAGTAAGAGGCAACACATAACTAATTAACTTATTGTAGGAGATTAATAGTATGATGAAGTCTCCAATGTTATTGATATTGTGTTGCATGTTTATTTAAGTTAAGTGTTACATGATCAACACGTGTGTGTATTTTGAAATATGTAACATCCTATGTGAAAAAGTTATGAAAAATATTTGATTTAATTATAATTTTGCATTAGGGAAATAGGGTGTTACATAGCACATGATTTTTAGTTAGGTTAATAACACTAGTCTTGTCTCACATGATCGAAATACGTTAAAGTTTAATATCAAAATCAAGTAATTGTTGTTTGAGTCACAAAATTTGAGCGCAACAACTATCGCAGCGACACCTCAACAGTTGACAAGGCAACATAGACTTGCTTCTTGCTATGCCAACTGACTAAAGAATTTGAAAATAAGTGGCAAGTTCCACTAGTGCTCTTCCTATCCGATTTGCAACCGGTAAAATAGGAATCAGAATGACCAACTAAACTACCATCGCATCCTTTCAGATACTAAAGCCCATGCTTAGAAGTACCATGAAGATACCTCAGAATGCGCTCTATAGATTTTAGATGTGATTCCTTATGAGGGGATTGATATCGAGCACACATGCATACACTTAACATGATATCAGTTCTAGATGCAGTAATATATAAGAGAGATCTGATCATGCCTCTATACCTTTTAATGTTAACATCCTTAAAGTTTTCATCTTTGTCCAAGTTTCCATTTGTTGTTATTGGAGTGTCAATTGACTTGGCATGTTCCATTATGAAGCGTTTAAGTAACTTTTGACAATACTTTGTTTGACATACAAACGTCTCTTCTTTGAGTTATTTGACTTGAAATCTGAGAAAGTAGTTTAACTCCCCCATTATACTCATTTCAAACTCTCCTTACATTATCTTAGAAAACTCGTTGACTAATTGCATGTTAGTAGATCCAAATATGATATCATCGACATAAATTTAAACGAGAAGAATATGTTTCCCTTGTAGTTTAATGAAAAGCGTTGTATCTATTTTCCCTCTAGAATATCCTTGATCAAGTAAGAATTGTAATCTCAAGCCTCAACTCAACTTTAGTTTTGATGAAAGACAAACAAGCTAGTTTGATGAAAGACAAACGAGCATTATGGCAAGAAGGAAAAGAAGTGGAAATTAACTTAAAGCATCATTCACTCAAAGCTTCAAGGATCATGGCAAGCAATCAAGTATATCAATTCTCAATTGAACTACATTGATTAGAAATGCTCAAAAATGATATACACACTTGCCACAACACTTCAATTATATTTCAAAACAATTTTTAAGTTTTTCTCTGCTGTAAATCGATTAACATCTTGTGTAAATCGATTTACACATGCTTTTTCAAAAAAACTGATTGCTCCTGCCAGCAATCGATTTACATGTTGTGTAAATCGATTAATCACAGAACAATGTGAATTTTTAAATCTTGTAAATCGATTTACACAACATGCTAATCGATTTACACTTCAAATTTTTTGAAAACTTTAACGTTACAAACCCGTGCAATCGATTTACATCTTATGTTAATCAATTTACACATTGTAAATTTTGAAAAATCTGAACTGGTTTCAAGATATCCTTCACACCTTTTCTCCAATAGATGCATGGTCATACATTGCATCCTCTCACGTTTTTCAAACAGAAAAGTGTCCATTTGGAAAGGTATCTTGATTACTTTAAATACAAAATCTTTCAAATTATAAACAACTCTTCTCTTATGCAATAAAATCTGAACTTTGTAAAATATTCAAACTTCACATTTCTTAACTTTTAAGAACAAATATTTTCTGCACTTTCACACATATAAAGAACAGAAATCTTTGAGCATTATCTAACCATTATGTTACAGTTTGAATTGCTTACAAGAGAAGAAAGAAGAAAATTCAAAGAAGTCACTCTATGTGATCAACATCTTTCAAGAAATCATACTTCATAAAATCATACAAAGTGTAACTTATTTCCAGGATTGTTGGAATTAAGTATTAGATTACTTTTGTTCCTTGTTGTCCATTGTTGGAAACAAGAGGTATCTTTTGAGAGGATTGTTCTCATTAGACTTATTGGAAATCCAAGAGGGTGTTCTTGGTTATTTGTTAGGTTCTTTAGTTGATAAGACTAGGAAGAGTCTTGTAAAAGTTCTAACAAAATAGTAAAATCTCTTGCGTGTTTGCAAGGGGACTGGACGTACTTCCGGGGTGTGGAAGGAACCAGGATAATTCTCCGTGTCTCTTTACTTTCTGTACTTTACAGTTTTCAAAGCACAAAATCAAAACCAGAAAGTATAAAATAAGTCAAAAATCGACCACCACCTAATTCACCCCCCCCCCCCCCCCTCTTAGGCGCAATCTTAAACTTACAATTGGTATCAGAGCAGGTTATAGGTAACCTGCTCCTAGAGATCCAGAATGGCTTCCGCAAATCATCAACCCGTTTTCAGAGATGGTGGTAGTAACAACAAGCCTCCTCTATTTTGTGGTGAATATTTTGACTTTTGGAAAATACGCATGAAGGCGCATTTAGAAGCACAAGGAGAGGAAGTATGGGATGCTGTTGAAAATGGTCCATTTATCCCGATAACGGTAATCAATGGCGTTGGGTCTGCAAAGCCCAAAACTGCATGGGATGACGATGATAAAAAGAAAGTTCTCTATGACAAAAAGGCAATAAACCTTCTTCAAGGTGCACTAAGTATGGACGAATTTTTCCGTGTCTCAAACTGCAGAACAGCAAAGGAAATTTGGGATACCTTGGTTCAAACTCATGAAGGAACGGCTGAAGTAAAAAGATCAAGGCTAAATACCTTGAGTCAAGAATATGAACTATTTCGAATGCAGCCCGGAGAATCCATTCTTGACTTACAAAAGAGATTTGTGCATTTGAAAAATCACTTAAATGCTCTTGGTAAAACCTTGACAAATGATGAACTCAACTTGAAAATCCTTAGATCATTGACTAGGGAATGGCAACCAAAGGTGACAGCAATCTCGGAAAAGAAGAGTCTCTCCGCAATGACTTCCGCTACATTATTTGGCAAACTTTAAGAATATGAAACGGAACTCGGTAGACTTGAAAAACATGAGAATCTAGAAAAGAAGTCCAAAAACATTGCTTTAAAAATTGATTCAAAGGAAGTGGTAAAAGAAGACAATCCGGAAGAAGATGAAAATTTCATGCTTCTTGTGAAAAGACTTGGGAAGTTTTTTGGCAGAAATGACAAAGGCGGATCTCATGCACATAAGAGAAAGCACTTCAAGAAAAGAGAAGCCTCCACATCAACACAAGATGTCTCATGTTATGAATGTGGAAAGCAAGGACACATCAAGCCA